ATATGTGGGATCCGAACCGGGGCCCTCTGGCGTCCCAAGGCAGCTCTTAACCAATGCGCCACTCGGCCCGCCCAGTTTAAGCTTAATTCTTAGGTTCCCTATTTGGGTCAGTGATGGCAAAACTATAGAATCTCATCCACTTAGGCTAAAACTGTTGGCTTAGAGCTGGTCACACATTCTCCCTTCTTTGAGAAAAGGATTAGACTAGAAAACAAAATAGCCTTATTCACAAAATGATTTGGAGTGGAAGTGGGGAATTCTAATCTAACACAGAATATCCAGTAATGGCGTCTCTTTCAGCTCTTTCTGGGTTTTGCTTTTACAGTCTTCAGAGACCCCTCATGGCAAACTCTGAAGGCTAGATGAAGGAAATGCACCGGAAGCCTTCAAGCTGGGTGGCATAATCACCCTGAGCAACACTCACTCTGCTGCAATTACTATCCCATCCGTGTGCATTCATAAGAGGTCTCCAAGTGGAGTGGGAAGTGTTTTTTAATGATAATGATTTAATATTTTCTAAGTCCCTACTGTGCTGGGTCCCTCACAATACATGTAAACAGCAAAGCCTCTGGGTTCTGCTAAGGCGATAAAATCTCAGAAAGGAAACAGAAATGATGTGAACAGCCTTCTATTTCTTTAGAAATATTTCATAAGCATGACTATAAAGTAATACATGTAACTTCAGAGAGTAAGGTAGTATGCTGTTCAGAAAGAACTATTTCCCTTTGTTTTTCGGTAGCTTTATGTTTTAAAGGATGTTTTCATTTTCTGTAGCATTGTTTTATTTTCATCTCTCCTCCAAGGGGTCAGAGAAAAGGGGAGAAAAAGAAGATGCCCTCCCCATCATGTCATGGCCCCCACATCAAAGATTTTTCAAGTTAGTCACCTTGAAGAGATCACAGAGGAAATGAAAAGGTCTTTAAATTGTTATATTGACAATGACTTTCCTAGAGAAAAAAAAAATACTTCTGCCCTGTTTTTGGTTCTTCCCTTTCTCTCCAGCTCAGATACGCATCTTATCAATCATACTAGTTTTACCAAGTGATAGGTCATATCCTTGATCATAGAATGTTAGGTCTTAAGCACCATAGAATCAGTCCAGTGCCTTGGTATGGCGTGATTTTCCTACGGTTCTATCTCAGACTTGAAGGACATTTTCTAGAATAAAATGATTCTACTATGAGGCTACTGAACTGATACAAAAGAAGGCACCATGGAACAATCAGACCACACAGGAACATGAAGAAATTGTAAAAAAAAAAAAAAAGGAGGGGGGGTTGCTTATTTCTAAACAGTGTAATCAGCCAGGCTATTCCCAGCCTACACTCAATTCCTAGACAATAGTCATGGTTGCTGAAATAACATCAGCTATTTCTAGCTTAGCAAAATAAATATAGGCTCCAAGAAAAGTATAACTTGTAGTAAAAGACTAATACTATTCCTCTTGATTAAAGATGTTATGTTTTTTTCAGAGTCTTTTCAAAAATAGAAGTGGCTGCAGGAATTTTTTTTGGGGGGGGGGTTAGTTCCGAACATACAACTGACCACCCCCCTCCTCCCCTGTCCCTAATCTACAATTACATCTTTGTCCCTTCTGCTTCCCAATTTTCATTTAATGCTCAAAGTAAAAATGGAAATACAAAGAAGATAGAAGAATGGGTGAAATCTTCCCCTGCTCAGTTCAAAACACATTTTTGCCCTCCTCCACCAAAACTAAAACAGCTATCACAGGTTGGCTCTAGAAGACCCATAGAAAGCTAAGGTAACAGATAAGAAGCAAGTCGGGTATAATTCTGATGGAGCCCCACCCTCTACCGGGTTAAAAGTATTATTTCATGTGGACAGAGGTTGCATGTACTCCACTTCTCAAGTTCAAACAACCATGACTACAGTCTGGATTTCTCACGACTTGTGGAAAATTGTTCCCCTTAATGTTGGACTCAGACTCAGACGTGAATTTGGTATGAAACTCTAGTTCCTGTAAGGGCCCTTGAAACCCCGACTGAATCTTCATAAATGTTCTTTTCTTTATTTCTACCATTCAGTGACTAGAGGGCTCCCTCTAAAATCCATCAATGCCAACCTTTAATGAAGATAAAGAGTCTAGAAGGCATTTCCTCCTCCAGGTCATAAGCTAAATCACTAGTATACTGATGTTTCTCAAGAACATAACACAATATGCAACTTTACAGAAATAATTTCATATACATCACCAACCGAGGAGATGGCCTATTGTTCATTATCTGCCAGACCTTAGGAAGTAAGCACTTAGTAATATTCTTAATTGTGTTAACATATCCTATCTGCCTTTTCAGCAACTTCCAGACACTGGATACTTTTGCTCCCTCCAAAGACTCAGAGAATTGTTGCTGCTTTCAAGGATTCTTAAGAAATTAAGTCCAGGGGCCGGCCGAGTGGCGCGATGGTTAAGAACTCGCTTGGGATGCCAGAGGGCCCCGGTTCGGATCCCACATATGAGGGCCAGTGACACTGCCCTCTACAGCTAAGATGCTGAACAACAGCTCAACCTGGAGCTGGGCTGCCATGAGTCGCCGGCGACGGCGTGGGCTGCAGTCCCTGTGGCAGTGGGTTGCCATGGGCTACCGTGTGTGGCCAGCAGCCAGCGTGAGCGGCCAGCAGCCGCAGTGAGCGGCCGTCCAGAAGCCGGCGACTGATCTGCCTCGCCAGAGAAGAGCGCAATGATGGTGCCAACTTGGGCCAGTGAAGCAACATCCTCCACAACTAGATTGAAGAACAAAACGACAGCAACTTGTCTGTTCCCCTTTCCCCAATTCCCCAGGACTGTTCCCATCCCCCCAATTCCCCAAAAAAAATTTTAAAAAAAAAAAAAAAAAAAAAAGAAATTAAGTCCAAATGTAGGCAGAAGGGGGTAGTAACATATTGTTTTGACTAATTCCTAAAATCTTTCTTCAGTAAAGGATCACCTTTCAACAGCCTTTTATTGAAGACAGATTTTTTTCAGTCTTGATCGCATATGGCTCCTTCTCTCCTAGAGACAGTAAAAGAAGCGATGGAGACAGGCAGACCTGAGTTCAAATCCTGACCCTGCAAGTTGCTAGCTATGACCATGGGCAGATTATTTAATCTTTCTGACCGTCAGGTTCCTCATCAGTAAATGGGAACGACAGGACCCACACACCTTTTAAGGCTGTAGTGAGGATTAAATGAGGTCTTGTTTTTAAGGAGCCAGGCATGTGAGTGCTCAATAAATGGCTGTAGCAATAATTACTATAATAATTAGGATTGGATATATTGCCAAATCCTTAACTTCCTGTATAAATGAATCCTTTCAAAATCAAAGTATAGACACTTATATAAAAACTCCCTAGATCCAAATTCCCTGTCCTCCTTTTGAAGATGCCCTAACTGCCTGTATTCAATGTTCCCCACCCATCAGTACTTACTCCTATAATGCTTGGCCACAAGAGTCCCAGAGTAAAAACAGCACAGGTGCTTTGCACTATCTCAATCTTACCTGTTGTCTTCCTTTTTCATTTCCATGTGCACCAGTTTGGGATCCCACTAAGAAGTCACCAAAATTCCAAGCTGTCATTGCTTTACCAATCAACACACTGGCGATCCTCTCTGAACTAGTCATCCTAAACTCACATAACTAAAATATCACTGAGAACTTCCCCCATTCAGCCACATGACATTTCCCTGGTGCCTCCCTTGCTATCTTTAAGGGAATTTGGTCACATTTTCCAAACACCTCTTTCTTCTCTTTAATTGCTTTAGTCACCTACAAAGTTGTGGAAAATGAGGACAAGATTTGGGTTCATTTAGTTTTGCATCAATTTAGAATTTCCCCCTCTCCCTTACTAACACATCTGTACTATAATAAAAATCAGAAGAAAAAGAGTAATAATAGCTAGCATTTAGTAACCGCCTTCTGTGTGCAAGGCATTGTTGAAAGTGCTTTTCATATATTATTTCCTTTACCATTGTCACTTCCCATAGTCCAGAAGCAATTACTGGAAGGCTTGGGACTTGGCTTCTCCAGCGACAATCCATTAGGAATGGCCATGAATCTCATCAGGCAGGTATGGGCTGTCTAGTCATTGTTTCCAATTTCGGGGACTGGGATCAATAATTCCTTCTAGGTTCTGCTGCCCACTTTCCCCCAGACCCTCCCCTCTCCCCTGTAATCAAAGATATCCTCCCCGGTAAGTCCCTAGGGAGGGCGGAGGGCGTGGGAGCTCAAGGCTGGCTGTCACCAGGAATCCCTCTCCATCTTGTCCCTTGGCTCCTACTGACTGCAACTCACAGCTGTAGCTGTTGACCTGTGTTTTGCTGCTATTTGCATTTCAAGTAAGTTAATAAAAGCAAAGAACTAAATAATAAATTGGAGATTTGTTGTTAAAACAATGATAACAAAGGCCTTTGATTAACCCACAGCACCACAGAAAAGCAACTCAGTTATACCACTGATGGTGCATATATACAAGACCTCTCAGCTCTTTATCTCAGGATTTTTACAAACATTACCCTCTCAGTGCAGAGTGAAAAATAACATCTTTGGGTAGAAAAACTAGGTCAAGACAGATATTTTTTAAAAATGTACTGATTTGCATATGGTTACAATTAAAGTCAGTGAATCATTCATCCATCTGTTTTACACACATTTACAAGCACTCACTAAGCGCTGGCCACTGGGCCCCCAGCCAGTTAGAGTGGTGTGCGGAGCTGACAATACACTGCTCTATAGAAATAACACAGTGAGCGATTAGGAGCTGGGGAGGCCACAGGTCTGGTCTATTTTGTGCTGCTTCGCAGCTCTGACTCACAGGTCTCCCTGCATCTCAGCCTCCTCATCTGTAAAGTGGGGGCAGGTGGGAGGAGGTTTGGACAGGATGCTCTTGAGTCCCTTTCTGATCTGACACTCAAAGGTAACAGGGTTCTTTGTTCTTCCCCTGTGTCCCTGTGTACGTCGGAGAAAACACTGTTTCCCATATTGTGTATGGAACCAGAAGAACCACGTTTGTGTCCCTAAATCTTACCAGGTCCTGGTTTCCTGGTATAAAAATAGAAACAATGACAATTCCTATCTACAGTTGCTTTAAGATTTAAAAGAGGTACCACAGGAGAACCGCATCAGAAAGCCCTATACAAAAGTGAGTTATCACTAACATCCCTGAAATTTAACAATCATCTTCAGGATCAAAAATCTTTTTCTTTTGCTTAAGCATCTGTCATATTTTCAGCTTTAACCACTCAATTAGCACACAATGGCTCTTATTATGGTGCCATGCTATGCCACTCTCAGGATGCCTTTTTTCTTTAAGAAGATGAGATTTTTAAAATTTCCTGCCCTCATCTATTGTCTTCTTGGTCCATGAGTAAATGCTTCATTTAGCCAGAGAGATTTTTGTTTTCCCACCTAAACGGAACACTTATTCTCAGGGGTGCTTCAGAAACTACAGAAGAAGGGTAGGATGACCAGCAGGGAGTGGTCAGTGTCTCAGGCAAGGTCTGCATCTGCCAGGCTGGAGCATTTTCTTTTTTTTTCTTTTTTAGCTGAGCCATCCTGCTACCTGTTGGCAGCTCAGCGGCTGCTCAGCTCGGGCTGGACTCAAACCGCTGTTGCTCAGAGTTCAAACTCTTGAGCGAGCTCTTAACCAACTGAGCCACTCGGCCGGCCCTAGGAGCATTTTCCTTGCAGCCTTCACGCAGCCTGGAGTAGCAAGTGAATAGCGAATGATGTAAAATAAAAATACGACGTGTAAAAAAAAAAATAATTCGGAAACAGAGGTAGTGAAAGCAGGGAAGGAGGCGCAGGGGTGCAAGCTTGAGGGGCTAGGTGTGTGTTCAAAATGAAAATACTTCAACTACCTCTTGTACTCTTTCTATCAGATGTTCTACCAAAAGGCTACTCAAAAGTGAGCGGAAAATTGTCAAGAAATGAAGAGACTTAGGAAATGTTTCCAAAACGGCCACCGTAGATCAGAGCACCACGGCTCTCAACTCTGCTGATGTTGGGAACATTTGGATGTAAGGACCCCGAAAGTGGCTGTGTGTGCCTGAGCACAACGGTTGTGCAATCCCTCGATGAAGGACATTACCCTTGTAAGGACTTAAACACTCTGTTCCACTTACAGAGAGATTTTCATTTAATCCATCACATATTTTTGTTATTAGTACAACTACCAGAAACTTCCAAGGACAGGCATAAAACCACAACCTCTTTGTTTTTGAGCCAACACACTCTCACTAAACCATATTCTCAATCATTGCCTTTATTAAGTCAGTGCACAGCTCAAGAACCACCAATGGTCCCCAGTGCCCTCAGAATTTAATTCCAAGCTCCTCAGTCTGGAATGTAAGCCCTTTCACAAGCTGGCTCTCTGCTATACTCTGGAGGGAGGAAGATGTACAAAACATGACATTACCATGCTTGAGGAGTTTAACATTCTAGTCAATGAGGCCAGATTTTTGTATATAAAATATTTAGAAAATAATATATCGCAGTATATAATCAAGTCCTAAGACACGGAAGGGACCCAGTGCGTAAGGACATGGATTCATCCCTCATTTACCAGAATGTCCAGTCTTCCACTCCTAGTCTCTTTAGAAGAATGCCTAATCCACCGTCCAACCTGGAATCTAGGATAATCTAGGTTTTACAGCAGCCTGATGACATTCAAAAATTTACTGCACCTGGATTTGTCCAGGCAAACGTTCCCTCGATCAAGGGTTCTCAATTTAGAAGCCATTCTCATTATGGGCAGAGATTGACAGGAGCAGTTAAGGTGCCTGTTCACAGAGCAACAAGTGATGCACCAATGAGGAGTGAGCAAGTTCAGGAACTATTGGAAGCCCCACAGAACCAGTCGACCTAGGGAACAGAGGTCTCAGTGAACAAAGGCAGCGTCCAAATTCCCCAAGCCTGGTCGCAGAGAGTGGTACGACTGCTAGATCCAGAGGCCTTGTTCTACAAGCACCCCTCCATCTGGTGGGGGCCCTGTGTTTATTTATTCAGGGAAACCCTAGTTGGCAAAGGTCATGTGCTCAGCTGGGCAGGACGCTGGGCACAGCTGAAATATAAGCCTAATTGCTCCAACACTTCACTCTGACTCTTGCCTGCCAGTGGCCATCTGTACTGGCCAAATTAACTAAAAGTTGTCAAACCTCCCTTTGTGTTGTATAGACACTACCTCTGAGTCTGTTTACAAATAGATAAAGTTGTTAACAGTAAACTGGAACGGGACCGGAAACAGTCAATTGGTCAAAAAATACGTCAGCCTAACATACACTTGGAGGAAAGTCACTCAGTTTCTGTGGCAAAACACGGGCAGTGAGTGGGACCACCCCAATTCCTTGGCCCTAAACCCTGCCTCCTCTGCTCATGGCGCTTCACGTACACATGATTTGTAGAATCTGACGTCATCATGTCCACTGTGACAGACACACAAGAGTGAACTAGGAATAGGAGACAAGTAATAAAGAAAATAAATACCCCAGTGGAAATACAAGCAAAACAATAAAAATAATAATAACGCCACACCAGTATACTTGTGTTTTGTGTTGCTCAATATACGAGAGATTTTCAGGGCATTTTATTCAAGAACTGCTTTCTAACTATAGTTCCAATCTGCAAGTTTTAATCAGAAATTGTGTTTTGAAGGTCACCTTGTCAATTTAAAGAAAGGAGGTGTTTTTAAGTACAACAGCAGAAGGTTTGGGGAGGGAGTCTTTGTGCAGCAAGCTTCCCACAAGGTCCTGCAGCTGACAGCTGGCATCTTCATTCTCATTTGTTATTCAAAGTCAACCTGTGGTCTCTAAACAAAGGGAAAGAGATCTCCCCACCCCCACCCCCACCCCTCTCCTTGTCTGATGACCAACAGAAGAGAACCCAGAGAATAAAGATGGGAAAGGAGACTGATTCTGACATCTTCAAGGATTTATACTCCCACGTGCCTATCTCATTTATCCACCCGGCAACACCACCCAAAGCCACATACTACCCCACTGCATGTGGTCCCGCCAGGATCCAATTCCAACCCGTTGTTATGAATTACCACCACACCAACTCTAGGCCTCAATTTTACTTGTCTTCACTTTACTTTTGATTAAGGCTATAATGGAATATTGGCATGTACGAAATGGCAAAATACCATTGCTCCCAACAAATACTTCCAGATTTTAGCCAATGAAAAGACCTCATATGTTCATATGACTAGACTTCAATGAGTGATGCTTGTCAAGTCGAATGTGGGCCCCGCATGTTTGAGAAATGGTTTTCCAGGAAGGAAGACGACATGGGTTTGGCACATCCACACCCGCTTCCGGCTCCCTTGTGAACAGCACAGCCTGTTGCCGTGTAACAGAGCAAAGCTAACGTGTGGTCTCGTGTAAATAGGAGGGAAAGAAATACAAATCTGTGCAAAAACACTCAGCAAATATGTATCTGAGGTGAATACAAGGTAACTCAGCAAATAGTTGTCTGCCATCTGGTCAGAATTCATAACGCCAGACGCCAGCCCTAGCCATAGGGCAATTTCCTGACTAAATTTTGTTTTCCTATACTTACTGTTGGGGCCTTAGACAGGCTTCCTTCTCAGACTTCAGACGGCCTCCGTTTCCTTGTGGTTCCTTTGGTGGAACCACATTGCTACTTCCTGTTCCAGCAAGGCCAGCCAGCGGGCCAGGGTCCACACTGCAGCCACACCACTTTCAAAAACCTAGCTGTACAATGTTGTCACTCAAAATTATATTTTTCAACAAGAGCTGTATTTTTTTTAAAACCTGGTTGATTTATAAGAACTTCCATACAAAAGATAGCATGAGTAGCTAATATTTTTCTGTATATCTAAAATTATTCAAAAATAAAAGAAATGTCAAAAGTGATTAAAAACACATCAGTCTTGACACAGTGGTTAGTTCCCACCTGAAAAATAAGGGAGGGAGTCGTGAAAGCCACAGCGGGACCCTGGGTTGAGGCCAGCCCACCACTGCTGGTTTGGGAGCTGACCTTCATGAGCAGCTTTCAGTCTCATAGAGAGGGCTATTCTAAACCTTTAACAAGCTATGAAAGTAAATGTACACCTATTGTGGACGGTTTGGATGACACAAATGAAGCAGCAGCTAGCATTTACCTATAATCATGTTCCCTCAAAATAATCATTATTGTTCATCTTTCATCATGTTTCCTTTCATTTCCAAACATACGTTTCATTACATAGTTGAGAGCATACTGGAAACACAATTTTGTGGTCTTGCTTTCTTCACTTAATGTTCTACCATAAATGACTTCCCCACATGAATCCAAAACTTTGCTAACACAAGGTTTAATGGCTGCCCGCTGACTCCACTGTGCACCAGCTCTGCAGTTTACGCGACCATAGACCAACTGCTGAAATTAGGGTGCAACAAAGTTATCGCTGTTCAGTTAATATCACAGGCATGGCTCAAGAAGAAAAAAAAAAAAATTCAGTCCTGTATCCAGGTGTCTCTGGGTTTAAGTTGCTTCTCATTGGTAAATTAGGCAAAGGAGCTTGTTCCAGAATGTTTAGGCCCATTTTGGCTTTGTGGCCAGTTAATAATGCTTAGAATAAAATGCCAGCCATGGCCAGAGAGAAAACTTTGGACAATGAGAAAAAAATAACCGCAAATTAAGTGCCCTGGGTAATATTGGTACAAAATCTTAAATGGATTCTAAATCAGTAGTGTATGATAAAATAAAAATAGCAGACACCAAGACCAAGAAAACCATGGTGCTGTTTTAAATGAACCAGTCTGCTTGTCTTGCACGTTAAGTCAACACATTCATTTTTGTAAATACTAAGTGAGAATAAATATCGTCCAATTTTAAGAATGAGTAAAAACCTAGGTATGTATAAGATAGAGCAATGGTCTAAGCCTAGCTCCTATTCAGGAAGATGGGACCCCATGTGATAATACTCATTCAGATACACATATACACAACCAAATTCTAAAATAAACTTAATCCTGTTAAGGTTTTCCTTCTCATGGTGCACTGAGGTGTCTGC